TCTAGTGAAAATGCTAATCGTCCCCTTAGAAAGGGACAAAGCCGCTTACTTTTAGCATTTTCACTATGTTGTAAGTGTAAGATGTAAGTGTAAGTGTAAGGTACAGAATTGACCCCCAGATTCGGAGATCGCGTGCGCTCGAGTCTCCAGAAGACTCGGTCCTACCCTCGACAGGGTCGAGCTTCGTAGCTTTGAACTTGACGCGAATCCCAGTCAGAAATGACTTGTCGATCGACTTGTCGATTTCTCGCTAGGACCTCAGGATCGCGCCGCGTTCGATCGCGCGAGAGAAGTCTGTAGCTCGGCTTCTCTTCCCGCCTCAGGCGCGATTCATCATTCCAACAGCCGCGAACGTTGCTTCTCCCCGGACCTGTTTACGCCCCGCGAATACAAATAACAATTTGATCGTGCGTCACGCTGGTGTAAATAACGCAGGCCGCCCGTTTGAATCGAATTAACGTCCCTCGGCGAAGAAACGAGATCTTCGACCTATCGAGAAGCGACTCGTCGGTCGATGTCGAGAACGACATCGATTCGACAGCGTTTCGACGTCGATCGACGAGTCATTTCTCATTGCGAATCGTCCCGTTCGAGTCCGAAATCCGTAAAGCGGCTGGGTCGCGTCGCGCGCGGCACGTGTGCGTAAGTGATTCGAAATAGATGCAAAAAATAAAAGAAAAGAAAACGAAGCAGCGAAAAAGCATATCTTCGGGAAACCTCGTTGCCGCGATAGAGCACAGAGCGCAGCCATGACTCCGCGGCGTTCGCTCGGCCGTTCCACGCAGGATCGCGCCCCGCGAGGTGGAATAATCCCGCTCGCGGGTCGAGGATTCGTCAAAGGACCGTCGGCGGTCAACAGTCGCGCAGTCGGCGGCCCGTCGCCGCCGACACGTCGCGGTTACGTAAGGGGAAACACGCGGCGGTCGGTCCCGTCACCGGACGGCCGTCTTAAAATACGCGCCAAGGAAATAGCCTAGCAGAAGCCTGAAAATAGCCGCACCGCGTCACGCGGCGCTCGGCCAATCGCGTCGCTCCACATGTGCTCGCCGCTCCGCGAGACGCGCGCGCGCGCGGGCGCGCGCGGGCGGCCGCCGTCGCGACGCCGCTCGCGCGCATCTCGGCGTCGGGCGGAAACGGCCGCACGCGGAGCGTCGCGGCGCGCGCGCG